CAGCTGACTAGTTCAAAAAAGCCCTACGTGGACACTGTCCTGCCTGCCTTTGTTCCAGTTAAATTGGAAACACACACACCTCTCAGCATGGCCAGTTGCCAGCTGGGGTCTGTTCCCCTGGGATCCCCGCTGTGGGAGAGGGGGGATCCCTGCTTGAGCAGTGAGTGAGGGGACAGTGGGGTAGGGGGAAGCCAGGCAGATGCTGCTGTCTCAAAGCTGCAGTCCCCACCCCCTTCTCAGCTAGCCAGAGAGAAGGGTGGGGCCAGCCCTGCTTTCTTGAGCAGAAAGCCCAGCCCAGCCCAGCGCTGAAAAGCATGCTGGGATGCTAGGGGACTCTGATTTAACATAAACTATTGATGGGGTCTGGGACAGAAGTTCCATAAAGCAGTTTGACTCAAATCAGTTAAGTCTGATACTACATTCAATCAGGTTCATCTTAAACCAGTTTCAGCCATTTCCAAACTGGTTTATGTGCATTGAATTTATGTTCTGTTATGGGTTTAAACCAGTTTCTGATCACTTAAACTGGTTCATGTGTAACTTTTGTCCCTAGTCTAGATGTTTGCTTGTACCTCTATGGAAATATTAGGTTGTGGAGCTCTGCAAAGAATACTCCATATTCTGGTGTTAGTAACTACAACTGCCCGCAAACATTTAAAAAAAATAAAATAAAAACAATGCACTTTACCAGAAACAGCAGCAGCATGTTAGATCAACCTGGCTCCACAGCGTCTGTATAGATCAGGAGCTTCAGCATGGCTTTTTGACACTTTTAGCTAAAGCAGATTCAATCACCTATTAGATAAAAGGGCCAAAAAAGCCCCACTAAAGTGCCCAATCTATACAGATGCTGGGCAAGCCAGGACCAACTAATGCGCTGGGCTCAGTGTGGGAGCACACCAAGTATAAAGTAAAGTGCTGTTTTTGCAGGGGGAAGGGTTAACATCTGCAGGCAGCCTGTCATTTTGTACTGGAACAGTTGGCTACAACAGGACATATTTTCAATTTAGGTGCCAGTGATGGTGATTATGTATTTTTAAATTGAGGGGGCAGATCCCAAATGGCTTTCCCATGTTGAATTTGTTATCCGTGTCACCATGTGACTGGTGGTGAATTCAGGGGCCACATCTCATGGATTAAATTCAGTGAACTATTATCAACTGATAGAACTCCATTAAGTATGTGAATCTTGCTTCCCATCCAAGGCTGTTCATGCACTGGTCTGTGTATAATTTCTGCGACTGTGGATTTGTGTGTATATATAATGTATATGGCATCTTTTTTGAGTGTGATCATTTTAAACCATGCATAAAAGTGTTTGTAATAGAAGACAGAGTAAGGTTAAGAAAACATATTTTGGCTGTGTTTTGTTTATCATACTATAAAACATTTTAAATATATAATCAATTCTCATTTTACTTTTATCCACTGTAGAGTTGTGGCACAAACGTCATACTTTTAAAGAGCATTTATGTTGATGTCTTACATATTTAACATGGTATCATATTACCAAAGGGTTTACCAACAGTTCACGTTTATATCTCATTACATGATTTTTGCCTACCCTCAGTTGCTGAAGCATTAACAGCCCAACATTTGGGAAAAATTCCAAACTAGAGTTATTTGTCCATGAGGTAGTTTAGATCTCTATACATCAGCACATGATTATTTTGGCTGTGGGTTTGCATAACTGCATTGGTTTCCTGTAGTATAAATAAGAGAACAGTTTAGAGCACTGAAGCTTTTGCCTTTTTTGGGGGAAGTTTAATACCAACAAGGAATTACACCCACCATACAATTTAGTGAAAAGTTAATTCAACCAAAACAAATAAGATAAATAGCAGTTTAATCATGGCTGGGCCTGAGCCATGGAGCTTGTATCCAGATCCTAACTCCTCTACTGTTAATGAATCTGGTGTTTAGTCAGTGTCATCTCTATATTTTCTCAGTGGTGCTAATGTGAACGGTCTTTAAATCAGTATGGCTTGATCTCACCCCATTGGCATCAAATGGCATTTTGCAGTTGATCTCAAAGGAGCACAAACAAACTTTCAGTAGGGGTATGGATAATGTAAATCGGCTTAAGGGCTTGATCACCAAATACTTGCCACCAGTTTGGACTTGAGAAAGGGCATTTTGTGCCCAAAAGCTTGGCTAATGCATTCCCAAAGTATATAACTGGTTCAATAAAAGATATTACCAAAGAAATCTTGCATGGCTCCCTGTAACAGGGGGCCTCCTCAGGGCCAACTTCCCAGTGGCCCGCCCACCTGTTTCTGGGCTAACCGCCCGCCTTCTCACCCACCACACCTTGTTGTTATTTATTTAATAGATGTTAGTAAGTGGGAGGCTGCCCATTTTCTGCCCCGATGCCAGGGGGCACTATCTGCAGCTCCGTTCCTTCCCTGAACTGCAGCCCAAGCCTCACAGATGGCATCTAGATGTTCTCATCATCATCACTGGCCCCACACTGGGCCTCAGAATCCTCCTAATGGAACCGCGCCTGGATTCCTCACCTCAGGCAGTCTCATCCACCTTCATACTGGGCAGCACGGCTCCCTGAACTGCTTCCTCATCGGGTGTGGTCCCCCCAGGACCTTTGGCTCACTAGCCCTGGCCCACCTCCAGGCCAGTCAGAGCCCCAGGCCCTCAGCTCTTGGGCATTCCTCATGGTGTGCCCCCAGCCCTTCTGCCCTTCTGGTCCTGGCCCCAGCATGGGCCAGTCAGGAGAAGTCCGGACAGGCATGTGTCTATGGCCCTCTCTCTCTCTCCAAACAACGGGTAACCCACCCGGTTGTGGGAGCTGGGGTTAAGGTGCCCCGACCTGCGTTTCACTGGGGTGGTCACTGGCTGGCCTGGCATTTCCTGGGGGCTCCCGCACCACTGGGAGCCCCACCAGGCCACCCACTCCCAGCAGGGTGCAGTTTTAGGTCATGCCCAGGACCAGGAGCCTCCTGACCATCCCCTACAGCTCCTCCCTTACCTCCAGATGACACCAGCAGCCCTCCAGCCAGGCAATGTTGTTGCCTGGCCTCCAGCAGCAGAACTGCCCTGTTTATATGGGCAGCCCTAGGTTCAAAATGGCTGCCCTCAGACACCTGGCAGCTGCCAGCTCCAGGCCCTTAAAGTGGCCGCACAACCAGTGCCCTGCCACACACCCCTACAGGCTTCCTACTCACAGCAGTAGGCATTAGACCTTAGCAGCACTTACAGTATCAGACCCCTAGTGTAATCAAATGTTTGTATTCTGTAAGTATCTGTATTAGGTAGTATGTTGTTTATACTGGTACACGTCTTTGCCAGGAAAGAAGTACATGATGCCAGCATGGGAATACATATTCCTGGAGGTGCCTTCTTGCCTGAAGGAAAGGTGTGTGACGCAGTGATTTTTCTGATGTTTGCATACATAGCTGGTATTAAAATTCTTAGTACTTTGAAATTCTGTTGCTCTGTCTATCCAAGTATCAGAAAGTGTTGCAAATGTCAACACTTCAAACAATGTTAGCAAATCAACTCATGCATAAAAACCTTCTTCTGATGTAGGTATAGGATATTCAGAGATTGTTTTATCCAGTATTGATGTATGCAGCTTTTTCTGAAGAGATCTACCCAAACTGATAAAGTGTCCATGGCTCACTCATTCCCCCTCTGCATATTCTTGCCACAAACTTTCTACAATACGCAAGGTTATACAGAACCCTCTGCAAAAACCTGATTTTTTTAAACCCAAGATGATTTTTTGTTATTTTCCGTTATAGGAATGGTTCCTTTTTAATCTGAGTTATATGGGTCAAGTGGATGGCTAAAAAAAGGTGTTCTTTAAATGTATGGTAATCAAGGTACATGTTTATATATGTCTGGTAAAAAGAAATTCCAGTTTCTTCCACAAGTGAATACAGTGGCCCAGAGCCTCAGTTTTAAGTGCCTGTCAAGCTGCCCTAAGTCTGATTCTGGAAAGCAAGTATTTAGGAAGGCCATGTAAACATGTGCTTGTAATTTGGGAACTAAATGGGCATCATCATCCTCTTTAAGGTTAAGCAACTACTTAAGCCATGCTTCACAAAAACACTTTTGTAGGCAGCTGACAAAATGAAGGGGAGTGATGGTTAAAGAAGTGCAGGGAGTGTGGGACAGGATTGGGCCCCAGGGCAGCAGTGGAGCTTCCTATGGGCAATCTAATCTTGCCTGCACTACAGGTCCTGTGTATTGCAGGTCTTCTATATCCCCTGTTCCATCTTTCCTGCCATGTCTTCATTTTCCTTCTGTATTGACTGGGAGGTTGCCCCCGACTCCTGGAGTATATGGTCCTGGTGCCTATCTGACTCAACTGAACTCTGCTGTCTCAGCCCTCCACCTCCTAACAGAGCCTGTTGCCTGTGGGCAGCTCACATGCCCAGTGAGAGCTGCTCATGTCCTCTGGCACTGCTCAAACTCTGTAGTCACAACTTGTGACCCGAGTGGCACTAATTAAGCCATGTGGCCTCCAGCCTCCCCCCACAGCCATACCCATGGTGGCATTCTGCTGTCATTTACCTTCCACTGTAGTCTTCGGCCCTCTTGGCTTTAAGCCTACCTGTTATTCTGGATATAGCTGTCTAGTCTAGGCCCACTTGTTCTGGCCTGGCGTCGCAGTCCACCTTTGTCTTGCTTTCAGGCTCTCTGCCCCTCATGGCCCCAGCCCACCTGCATCTCTCTCTGTCTTACACCCCTACCCCTGGTAGGACTCGAAACCTGGTATGCCTCTCAGGTATCCCTGCGTGGTCTCCTTACCACCCCTACATCCACCACCCACTCCTCCAATTTAAAACAAAACAGATATTCAAGCACCCAGATTCAGAGGCCTACACCCACCCCAGACATCCCTGCTGTATTTTCTCTCTAAAGTAACAGGAGCCCCTGGTTCCCAGTTACAGGAGGACACAGCAGTCTGGGGGCCAATCCAGTCACCAGGGAACCAGAGGCTCAGGAAATTACAAACAGGGCAGACAAAGCTCTTTGCCTCTTCTTTTTCTTTATTTAGCAATCCATCTGAACCTGAAGACTGGGCCAGCTGCAGCAGGTGCTAAATCACGTCAGCCAGGAAGGGAACACGGCACTGCTGTAAGCTTAGGGAGTCGACATTCCCAATGTACCTGTAAAAAAGCCATTGGGACACACTGTGGTTTCAGTGTGAATTCTACAAACCACGAATGCTGCACTGCAAGAATGCACTGTTCACTGCATGAAACAATTCGAAGTTTTGTGCCTTCCATAGAGAGCAACTACAAGGTGAAAAGATTATGCTAATATATTTTATATTTTCATAGCACATTCATTCTCTAAGGATACCAAACCATTTAACAAACAACAGGCTGTGAGGAACAAGAAGGACAGGTAACCATCTAGGATAATGGGTTTCCAGGGCAGCATAAAAAAAAAAATGTACCTCTCTGTCCTCTCCTCTTCCCGACCTTTTAAAGAGCACAAAACACCAAGTGGCAGCTTGCTTCACTATGTCTCTAAAATACTATTTCCCTGTGTGCTGTGATAAAGCATCACCTATCTAACCCATCTGGTGAATAGTTCAGGGGACATGGGTGTCACATCTCAGCAAGGCCCCCATTGTACTAATTCCAGCTCTTATCACAAACACACAAAACCACCGCATATTCAGTGACCTGCAGGCTTCCAAGTTGCAACCAACTAATTTACACAGTACACTATATTGTAGGAGTGAAAAACCACCTCTTTTCATAAGTATCTTTCATCTGGACACTGGCACTCTTGTGCCAAGTTATTTTCCTTTCTTTTGTAATATGAACCCATGGAAAGTGGAGACTCAGGAGGGAGGTTTTTTTTAGAAAATGGTCCATAAATGCAGAATGATGGTCCATAATTAAGGAAAAGGAGTCAAGTTAAAATTCAAATAATCACAGAAAGTCCCCTGGCATGAGGAATGTTTCCTCAATTAATTTGAGGAACCAAGATCCGGTTGTTCTCACTCTGTCTTAATTCACATTTTCTTTAGTACACGCCTCCAAAGGAATTACTCTCAACAGAGGAATATTATGGATGAAAGGCAGTCTTACGAGCCCATTGGGTCCAGAACGGCTACAGAAGCTAACTGATGGCTGTGTGCATTAACAAACCGCCAGTTCAAGTACCTGTCCAGTTCTCTCTGAACATGGCTGTTAATGTTCTTTTTACAGAGGTGTTTGGTAACCTAATATATAGTATTGCAAAGTAAACTTGTGTCAAGCACTTTGAGAGCCAAGTAGATTATATCCACTGTTGGATTTTTCTCCGCTTTGTGCATTACCTACTTTTAAAAACTCTAGTAGATTTGTAAGGCCTAATTTACTTTTTATAAACCCATGATGACTAAGTTTTGTCAGTACATATTTCTCCAGATGTTTTGTGATCTCATCTTTTATTAATGTCTCTAGGATCTCGCCTACCACTAAGGTTAGCCTCACTGGTCTATAATTTTTCGTCTCTTGCCACTCCAAATGGCTTCCATACTGACTAACAAGTTTCCTCAGCAAGGTCAGCCAGAGAGACATGTGTATATATAAGACATGCCTCTAGTTGCTCAGAGGTAATATTCAGTGGGTTTTGCATTCATTCAGTGGCCAAGATATTTGCAATGATATATTTATATAACATAAGTGTTCTATTGGGCAAGCTTCATAAAGCCAACTGTGAAATAAAAGTGAAGCTGTGCTCTTGGAATGGTTATAAATTTTAAAAATACCTATCACTTGAGTTCTCATTTTTTCAGAAGAAATACCTTCTCCCTGTCTTGCACAAATGCTCTTCATTGTCCAGGGCATTTTGAGTTGCTACTAGTTTTCTGGTTCTGTCCCACAACAAACTGAAATTCTGGAAAGAGCAAGATGTGACATGATGCAGCAATCCAAAAGGCATAATTTGTACAGTATAAATTTTAGGCAACCTTGAAGTTGGGTACAAGCTATTAAGGCTTATGGGTGGAGATCTGAAATATTAAAGGTATTGTCCATGCTATGTGGACATTAGAGAACTCAGCATTTATCTTAAGAGTGGTGTCACTGTCCTAACATGTGTCTCCGCCCAAGAGATACCTGCATTTCAGAGATACAGAGCACATAGCTGTTGTAAGCTTTGGGTGAAAGATACCAATGAGAATCTCAGAGGACCTTTGGCTGCCATGGCTGCATCTACACATGCAATTAATGCAATGTGATACACTCTGAAGCAGTTTGCACCAGAGTACATTGCTCCCATGTGAGGCATCAGCCTGGCAGCAGGCTCTTTGAGCCAGGGTGGAGGAGCCCTGAGCTTGCAGCAGGCTCAGGAAGTCAGCCCCAGGCTCCTGGTGGTAACATCAGGTGGTGGAGGAGCTGGCTGGGGCATGAGAGTGTTGAAACTGCAGCTCCATAAGACTGACCCCCTGAGCCTGATGCCAGCCCAGGCCTGCTCAGCTCCAGCTCAAACCACTGCTGTCTTGGTCACCATCCACATGTATGTCACAGCTAAGTAAATGAATCTGCCATAAGTACTGTCTTATGGCAAAGCTAGTTAATTTACTGTGCCCTAATACTGGGACTCGTGTAGACAGTGACGCTTTACTATGGAGCTAATTACACACCTGCACAACACATGTAGATGCACCCCATGTGAATTAGACACTTGGAAAATTGTACCTATTCCTCTTTATGTGCCTAGGACCTTCTCTGATCAGGGAAATCCATGTGTGCAGGCTCCACAGAGCCTGAAACACAGCTGCTGTTAGCTAGTAGAAATCACACTGAAAGAATTTACGAGAATGATTAAATTATATTTGTCCTAATGCAGCCCTCATCATTGTAATATCAGAAATGCTCCTGAACACCATCTGACTCATCATAGTTTATTCCCATTTGCTACATATGGCAAGTGCACTGGATGGATTAGTGTGCTTTATATTGATACAAGACAGTGTAAAATAATCAACTTTTCCATGTCCCTAAAAATTATTTTTTGGCATCTTTAGACTCAGTGGGACATATTCAATGCTGAGTCTGAGAGTATAATATATACCTTCTTTCACCCCATGAACCATCAATGTTCACTTGTTGCAAAAAAGTCAACAGCATACCGGTTTGTATAAACAGGAGCACCTCTTGCAAATCAAGTGAAGCGATTTACTCTATTCAGCACTGATGAGGCCTCACTTGGAGTACGGTGTCCTGTTTTGGGACTAGCACTTCAACAAAGATGTGGACAAATTGGAAGAAGTCCTGTGGAGAGTGACAAAAATTATTAGAGGCCTGGGAAACATGGCTTGTGAGGAAAGGCTGAGAGAACTAGGACTGCTTAGTCTGGAGAAAATTGAAGGAGCATTTTGTTAACGCACTTCAAACACCTGGAGGGCAATTATAAAAACATACTTTTCTTGGTGGCTGTAAAGGAGAATTTTACATTTTAAATATGCTTACCCAGTTGCCACACAACCTTGCTCATGCTCTGTTTGTTCTGTTATGGTACCTTTGTGTATTCCTTCTCTACATACCCCCATGAACGTGCATGTTAAGTGATTTGAGGGCTACTTGTGCCTGTTCTTACTGTTTGTGGGTAAAGCGTGTAAGTGTAGAGGACCAGGTGGATTAGATCTTTGCATCCACAGGCCCTCCATTCCAAAATTCTGGAATTGATAGGTGTGGCAGTACACCTTTGGGTGCTTGGCACTTTAAGGACCTGAGCAGGCTGTGAGGCAGCCTGCAGGTGACTGCAGAGCCAATCAGGTGGTTGCACCCGGGAGCAGTGTACTCCAGTGCAAACTGTTCCAGAGTATATCACATCACATTAATTGCATGCGTAGACATATCCATGGTAACCAAAGGTCCTCTGAAATTCCCATCGGTATCTTTCACCCAAAGCTTACAACAGTTATGTGCTCTGTATCACTGAAATGCAGGTATCTCTTGGGCAGACACAAATGTTAGGACAGCGATAGCCAGGAGACCGCCTGATTGGAGCAGGGTGAAGCAGCCTCAGAATAAGAGCAGGCCCTGAGGAGTAGAGCCGGCAGTAGCAACTGGGGAGCCAAAAGGTGAACATCTCCCGGCTGGAGTACTGATGCTCCCAGGAACATTCTGGAAGTCAGAGTAAGAGCTATGGGGAAGGAGGGGGTTCCTAGGGATCCAGTGGGGTCCCAAACCCTGAGGAAATGGCTATGGGCAAAAAGAGAGGTAGGCCAGCCTACGGAAGGGGCTTAGAGAGTGTGGGCGTACTGAGGGGCTAGGCAAACCCCTGATTAGAACTGGCTGTGACTGAGGCCAGGGGCTCAGATGAGCCCAGTGGACTAAAGGGCTGTTAGTAGATCTCTGGGACATTAGGCAGGCCCAGTGAGAGTTAATGTCTATATGCTGGGGCCCAAGGAGGACCCCTGTTGAATAGGGAGGTCAGCTGCTGCTACACTGATCCTCAGTCTCTCAACTGGACAGTGCAAGGGGGCTGGGGCCAATAGGCTGAAGGGCATGGAAGCCCACTGCGAGAGGCAGGCCAGGCCTGCGGAGAGCTACTGGCACCCCAACTGGCCTAGAGGCAGGGCCAGAGCCTAGAATAGACTGAAGGTCCCCTCCATGTTTCGGCGGGGGGAGGGGGACATCACAGCTGAGAGAGGATAGGAGGTCAGCTAGCAAGCAGGCTAGTATGAAGGAGGCTGAAGCCCAGCCTCCTGATGGGAGGTATCCTGCAAATGGGCCTGAGAGAGATGGGGCCTGTGGCTGAAAGGAAGGGTATGAAATGAAGATTGCAACACAGTGCCCTGGAGTGAGCAGCCCCAGAGGAACATCCAAAAGCCCAATGAGGGAGGAGTAACATCAGGGCAGATAGGTCTGCATTGGTCCTGTAGAATGACCTAAAACTACACGCTGCTGGGGAGGATGGTGTGCTGGGGCTTCCAGTGGCAGGGCAGTCCTCAGGAAATACCACACCAATGCCTCCCTAGTGAACAGTGAGTATGGAGTGCCAGAAAGCCTCATCCCTCACTGCCTTGCAGGTGACCCGGTGGAGGGGAAAGGCTAAAGGAGCACACCCTGAAAGAAAAGCACCAGGCTTGGGCAACCAGATGGAGGCTAGGAGGGCCTGAGGCCCAATCCCTGAATGAGTGAGGCCTAGAGGGAGGCCTAAAGGAGAGTGAGATCCAGGTATGTCAGAATCCTGAGGCCTGAGTGGACCATAGGCTGAGAGTGGGGTCCAGGCACATTGACAGACACCTGAGGCCCATATGGCATAAGGCCCTGCAGCCCCAGTGAGGGGGCAGAGTGTGTGGGACCAGAAGCCTAATGAGAGGCAAGGAGCACAGAGGGCATATGGGAATTGAGACCCCAGTGAAGGGGCATGTGGCCAAGGTAAATCTCCGGATGCCTGAGGCCAGGTTTGGGCCAGAGGCCGAGTGTGGCCCAGCAATGGTGTCAGGGCAGTAACAGTACGTAGTCTGGGCCAGTGGCGTAGCATGGTCCAACAATGAGACCGGGGGAATTAGGAGTGATTCGGGTGCCATCTGTAACATATGGGACACGGTACAGGGTAGGTTGTGTATTGCATCTTTGTCATCAGGTCATTAAATGGGCAACCTCCCGCATTTTTCCATCTGTTTTGTTTGATTACATCAAGGTATGGCAGGCAAGACAGGGTGAACTGCCCTAGACAGGTGGGTGGGCTAATTCTGTGACTAGCCCTGGGGATTGCCCCCTGCTCAAATGCTGCAAGGGAACATTGCACAAGGGTCACCGTGGGATCAACACTCACTATAATCTGTGTAGAGGTCTGAAATGGAGTGCCCCCCTTTTCAAGGTAAAGAGAGTATACAGGAGAGACATTAGATAGGGGTCACTCCTTGGATGATAATTAAGTTGGTCATAAATTCTCAAAAGTAACTAGTGCCTGTGGGTACTAGTTCCTATAGTGGGTTCAAGTGGAAATTTGTCACCCACTGTGTAACCAGATTTAAAATTAGACTTACGAATTCAGTGCCACTATCTAAAACGTTTGAAGGAGAAAATTCCGTTCTTTGAAGAAAGCACTTATTGAACACAACAGTTTAAAACTTCAAGCAGATGACAAAGCACAACAGAAAACTTCACCTAAGCTAAGACACAGTGCATGCATCTACACGTGCACCTGACTGCAGTTGTTACTGTGTAGTCGTTTAGTACTTACCTTACCAAGTACTAAATGACTACACAGTAACCACCATTACTGCACAGTCGTGGTGGCACATGGGTCATTTCTGACCCTACTGGGCAGTAGCAATGAACTATTGCACAGTAAGTCATTGCTACTGCCCAGTAGCATTGGCATCCTGGTTCGTGCCTGCTGATGCTACATTGCTATAGCAACATAGCATCTCATGTAGACGTGCCCAGTGACACCACACGCAACTTAGCCTAGTTTAAAATGCAATATAATAAATCAAGAAGACAACAGAAAGCCTTGCATGACTCTTACATAATCTCAAGTGTCTCCTTACAGATTCTCCCTTCTGGGGAATCTGCAAAGTTTCTGAGGCGTTGGAGTGGAAATTATGACCACAAATTTCTTTTCCAATTCATTAAATACAATTTATTAAATGCAAACCTCTATATGTAGAAATGGGTTAATCTGCTAAATTAATTTACTATGTCAAAACAATATTTGCACTTTGTTATTTCACCTATTATTTTCAAAATATCAAACATGAGTTTTGTGCCTAGCTGTTACATATGTAGCTATTCCATTTTCATGATCAATGCTGCTAATATCTTAGCATTCATCTTATAGCATAAATCAGTCAATGTGTAAAAGTTATTGGCAAAAAGAAATAAAGATTTATGTCCAATACTGTGTGCTAGTCGAGCAGCTTTTCTAACTGTAGATGTTCTCTAATCAATTCAAGATACATCATCTTTCACTCTGAGTTTTAAAATATAGCACTATATATTAAAAAGTATTCTCATTAATCTTCAAAGCCTGCATCTAAAACCTTCAATCAGCTTATTCATAGCCAAATAATATAGACATACAGCATTCATCATGTATAGTCAGATGCAGACTTGATTCCTAAATATGAAAAATCAGTCAGTGCTGGACAACTTTTGCCTAAGCTAGCAAAGGTTTTTGACCACCTACTGAACTGCCACTAATGAGATCCAGCTATATAAGATCCCTCATTTTGTATAAAAAAAAAAACTTCACAGATTCTTCTACTTTCCATTACACATTCCAAATTGCTGGGTACAATCTATTGCTATTTTTGCCATTATATACAGGTAATCACTCATGGAATTACATTTGTTCTTGTTAGTCGAAGCTATAAATGCATCACACAAAACCATCCCATTCTCTCACAAGTTACCTTTGTATATGATCCCATGCTAGAACAATCTGATGTACTGGTAGTAGAGCAGGTCACACTGGAACTCCTATTCGTCAGAAATATTAAAACATTTTTGGAATATTTCTGCAGATTTTTCAACGTTTCATTAAAAAAATTTAAACATTTATCACAATGAAAACTAGGTTGGCAAGCAAAATATTAATAAAAATATTTTCAATTATATTTAAAAATAGTAATCAATATAAAAAGTTGCATCAAATAATACCTTTCAGTAATTTTTCACTGAAATATTATCTTTTTTTTTTGAGAGTGTCTTTTTCATTAAAAAAAAAAAAAACCAAAAAAACCAACGGTTCTCATTTGAAAGATTTCAACCAGCTTGTAAGTGGGTTGCTTTGCCTGCTGCCTTCTGTAGGCATGTGCACTCCCTGAGGAGCTCTTCAGCCAGTCCTCCCAAGAAAAGCACAATCTTTTGAACAAGTAAGCAAATAAAACCAAAACTTTCTGCCATGTCCTGGACATGAGGAAGGGAGCCCATTTTCCTCTGGCCCCTCCTTGCAACATACTGTTCCACTCACATCTTGCTTCCTTCTCCCCTCTGTTTACTTCTCTGTATGATAGGGGGCCATTGGCCAGACCGGATCTTAACGCTGGCCTGCCCACCTGTCTAAGGCAGTCTGCCCCGTCTCATCTGCCACAACTTGATGTAATAAACAAGATGTTGAGTGCAGGAGGCTGCCCATTAAATGCCCGGATGCCTAGGGCATTGTACACGGCTCCATACCATCCCTATACCATGTCCCATGACTCACAGATGGCATTGCCAATTGATAATAGCTCCGGCTAAAGGCTGAGCTAAACTCTGCCCCTTGCTGGCCTCTAGCATTCCACTCCTGTACTCCACCTCCTCTCACAAGGCCTCATTCATCCTGCCCCTCACTGTGCCACTCGCCCAGCTCCATGAGCATTGGCCATGCACAAGGGGTGCACACAGGTTCACGTGCACCCCTGAGATTGGCTATGCCTCCAGCCACAGCTGCTGCAGTGGGGGGGAGGGGCAAGCTGGGCTCGCAGCTGGCCCAGCACAGCAGGCAGGTAGGTAAGGTTTCTTTCTTTAGTTTCTGGGCTTCAGGGAGGAGGCGGGGGAGATCAAGACTCCCACAGTGCCAGTGCCAGTCCCAGGCTTGCTCCCTGCCTCACAATGACCTTTTTCCCTCCCCAATCCCTTCCCTGAAGAATTGTTTTTCTCCCTCTGCCCCGGGCCACCCAGTCAGCAATTGGGCATTGGGATACACCCCTGCCCTTGCACATCCCTGGTGCAGCCCTTCAGGTCACCCCTGCAACTCTACTCTACCCCCCCCCCCCCACACACACAGTCCTTCAGGCACGTCCATGCACCCTGCTCTGGGCAGGCCCCTCCTGTACACTTTCACCCCCTCACCAGAGCCCTTTTCTGCCCCCTCACTGGAGCAAATCTATGCCCCCTTTCTGAGGCTCCGGGTCTTACGCCCCATGGGCTCAGGTGTCCACCAACATGCCTGGAACCACTGCCTGCTCCTGATCAAAAGTTACCCACTGCGTAGTGGGAACTGGGGTTATAAGGCACCCCTACCTTTCACTGGGGAGGCAACTGGCCTGACATTTCTGGGGAACTACCCTGCCACGGGTAGTCCCACCAGGCCATCCTTCCCCAGCAGGGTGTAGTTTTGGGTTATACCCAGGACCAGGAACCTCCTGCCACCCCCATAGCTCCTGCTCTTACCTCCCAGGATGTTCTGAGCAGCAGCTCAGCCAGGTGGCTTTCTTCCAGCTGCCAGCAGCAGACTGCTGGCTCAGCCCTGAGGGCCAGAGCTAAAATGGAGCCTGCTCAACCCTCTCCCCCAGTCACATGGCCCTCCTGCGGTCATATGGCCACCTCATCAGGGCTGACCCGCACCTGCCAGCTGCCCTGCTGCCACTCCAAGCCCTTAAAGTGGAAGGCACCAAGGGTGCTCTGCCACATTCAGATAGCTTTGAAAGCTCCTAAAAGGACACTCCCTGATTATACAAAGACCCAGCAACTGGGTTTTCTCAATAGGGCTGACTAATCCTTCTTAAAGGAACAGATCACCTTGTTACATAGCTCTAGTCACTAATGGATGGATGTGTAATTTTATTTAAGATACTTTGACATTGTCTAGTATTTAAAACAAGCAGTAAAAGAAGTTAAGAAAACAGATTAAAGTCAGCCATTTCGTCAGTAGTGTCATTCATTAACTACATCAGGATCATTAATTATATCAGGTAGAATTCACCACACCAATATAAAGCTTTGTTAGCTGAAAATAGAATACAGGAGTTCGGAGAGTAACCTTTCACTATGGCATAGGTTTTCCACTGAGTGCATCTTCAATTACTCTTGCTGTTTGTCACATCTGTCCATCACAATTGATACTCTCCTCCTTGGCCTACATTTGACCAGCCCAAGATGCTGACTCCCTGGTTCAAAGGAACTCTGGAGGGATCCCAACCTACTCTGCTAGCTCAAATACATGTCTTACAAGGTTCCAAGGAAAGAATAGGATTCTCTTGTACGTTGATCTTAGCCTCTTTGTCTGTATAAATGTTCAGTTGCTTTTCCAATTAGACATTTGTATTTTATGACCGCAACCAGGCATTTGATTTCTCATCAGGGAAATAACGTAAGAATGATGATAACTTATCTAATAGTTTCCTACTAGTGATCCAAGGAGAAAACAGAACAAAGAACTTAAAACTGGAAGTAGGAAATGGGATTTGAAAATGAAATGCTTTTATTTTGGAACAGGGTGTGTGAAATGTTAGTGTTAGCTGCATTCTTTTTAACTGGGCCACTTATGTTGAGAATATTTGTCCAGTGTGATCATGATACATGAAACTCTTTCTAAGAATTTTGGTGCACTTGAATTCTCTTTATCTCAATGTGGAATGCTAGTGAGAGCACGGCTTACAGCCTTATCGTGTGATTTCAGGAAACAAAAATGTTTTGTAATGCTTGGCGAGTATTTGTCTTAAGTCATAAAATCATAGAAAATTAGGTTTGGAAGGGACTTCAGGAGGTCATCTAGTCCAACCCCTTGCTCAAAGCATGACCATCCCCAAGTACATTATCCCAGCCAAGGCTTTGTCTAGCCAGGTCTTAAAAACTTCTGAGGATGGAGCATCCACCACCTCTCTGGGTAACCTGTTCCAGTGCTATACTAGCCTCCTAGTAAGAATTTTTTTCCTAATAACTAACCTAAACTTCCCTTGCTCCAACTCAAGACCATTGCTCCTTGTTCTGTCATCTGCCAACACTGAAAATAATTTAACTCCATCCTCTTTGGAAACACCCTTCAGGTAATTGAAGTTTGCTATTAAATCCAGCCTCAGTCTTCTCTTCTCCAGACTAAAAAAGCCCATCTCCCTCAGCATCTCTTTATAAATCATGTGCCGCAGCCCCCTAACCATTTTCATTCCGATTTGTCTACTTTCCTTTCTATAGTGGGAGGCCCAAAACTGGACACAGTGCTCCAGATGTCGCCTCACCAGTTCCAAATAGAGGGGAATAATCACTTTCCTCAATCTACTGGCAATGCCTCCTACTAATGCATCACCGTATGCCATTAGCCTTCTTCACAACAAGGGCACACTGTTAGGTCATATTCAGCTTACTGTCCACTGTAACCCTTAGGTCTTTTTCTGCAGAGCTGCTGTTTAGCCAGTTGGTCCCCAGTCTGTAGGGGTGCATGAGTGTCACGGCAGGGTCCTATAGGAGGGCCGTGATCTCCTTAAGGCCTTCTCTCCATGCCAATTCGGCCCAAGGGCACCCTCTATTCTTGCCCGCCAAGTCTTGCTGGTAAATATAATAGGGAGGCTGCCTTGTGTCTCCTTGGGCATGTAAACTCCTGGACCCCTCATGGGTCTTATCCTGCACCCATGGGTGCCTTGGGGCACCCTAGCCTTAGGGGCTACGCATGGCTCCTACCACCCCTAATACCACGCCCCAAGCCTCACAGATGTGCTGGACATTGGTCTGTTACGTTACACGCCTGTTCTCCCGGGCCTCCTCTGTAATCTAGCCCACTCCTGGGCCTCCCCTGTAGTCTAGCCTACTCCTGGGCTCTCTCTAATGCACAGCCCCTCACTGGGACTCTCGTCAAGCCCACTCTGGGCCGTCTCTAAAAGTGTTGTCCCCCTCAGGGACCCTCTAGCGGGTCTCTGGTCCTTTAGGCCAACCGCACGGCTACCCTCTCTGATCCTGGTTCACCGCACTGCTATCCCCTTTTGCCGGGGACCACCACAGCACCTTGCCTTTCTGAGGGCTGTTGCCGCACTAGCCTACAGCCAGGCTTGCTACACCCGTCTCAGGCTTCCCAATAGTCCCCCCTTCTCTGGGACCTTACATGCCCACGCCAGGCTTCTCAATAATGTCGCCCCCTCTCTGGGGCTCGCTGTGCCCACGCTGGGCTCCTTAATAATAGTGCCCCCTCTCTGGGCTTGCTGTGCCCACGCGTGGCTTCTCTAAAGTACATTCCCCCTTTCTGGGGCTCACCACGCCCACGCTCGGGCTCCTTAATACTGGTGCCCCCTCTCTGGGGCTTGCTGTGCCCACACTGCGGCTTCTCAAAACACCCCTCTCCAGGGCTGGGGTCTACACACCCCACAAGTTGCACCCTCACTGGCACTAGGGTCCCACCCCCTGTGGGTCCCTATGAGGTTCAGCCGCTCCTCTCTGAGCTTAACTGACCCCACAACTCTGCCCTGTAGCTCTCAGGGCCTAGTGCACCCTCACTGGCACTGGGGTCCCCACTTTACCATGAGCCCCCCTCTGAGGCCTCCTCCAACCCCTACAGCCTCACCCAAACCACCGGTGTAATATCAAAGCCTAAACATAAACTCAAGCCTCCTGGCTATAACTCAAACATAAGACACTGGGCCATAACAACATAAGCCTCCTGGCTGTAACTCAATATCATTGCTCCAGCCTCTGGAGCTCTCTCTCAAGCTATACTTGCTGTTAAGCTTTTCCTCCCATCTTAACTACAGGAGCTCCTGCCCCTCGGACTGCTGGCAGAGAACTGCCAGCCTGGCTTCAGCCCGGGGCTTTATAAGGGCCAGGCCCTGCCTCCTACCGGCAGCTGGCTCTCCTTAGTTGCCCCGGCAACCCGCAGCTGTACTCCCTAATCACCGCTAGGGCTCCTTATGCACTGCCAGAGCTTTTCCTCTGGCAGTTTTCCCCTCTCTAGGAGCGGGGCAGCGAGGTGCGCCATGACAATGAGATTGTTTTGTCCTAATTGCAGGGCTTTGCACTTCTCCTTACTGAACCTCATGAGATTTCTTTTGGTCTAATCCTCCAATTTGTCTAGGTCTCTCTGAATCCTAGCCCTACCCTTCAGTGTAGCTACTCCTCCCCGTCATTTTGGTGTCATCTGCAAACTTGCTGAAAGTACACTCCATCCATCTTCCAGATTGGTAATGAAGATACTGAACAAAACTGGCCCCAGGGCCAACCTCTGGAACCCTCCACTTGAAACTGGCTGCCAACTAGACAGTAAGCCATTGATTCCTACTCTTTGACTCTGACAATCCAGCCAGTTTTCTATCCACTCTACAGTCCAGTCATCTGACCCATACTTCCTTAGCTTGCTTGCAAAAATGTTGTGAGAGACCATATCAAAAGCTGTGCTAAAGTTGAAGCATATCATGTCCACTGCTCTTCCCACATCCATAGAGCCAGTCATCTCAGCATAGAAGACAATCAGGTTAATCAGGAATGACTTGCCCTTAGTGAATCTATGCTGACTGTTCCTAATCACCTTCTTCTTTTTCAAGTGCTTAGGAATGGATTCCTTGAAGGCCTGCTCCATGACTTTTCCAACTAAAGTGAGGCTCACCAGTCTGTAATTCCCTGAATCTTCCTTCTTCCCTTTCTTAAAGATGGGCACTATATTTGCCCTTTTACAATCATCTAGGACCTCTCCCAATCAGGACAAGTTTTCAAAGATAATGGCCAGCGGCTCTGCAATCACATCAGCCAACTCCCTCAGCACTCTTGGGTGCAGTATGTCCAGCCCCATAGACTTGTACACATCCAGCTTTTCTAAATAGTTCCTAACCTGCTCTTTCACCTCTGTTGGTTGCTCACCTCCTGCACATACTATGCTACTAGGTGCAGTAGTCTGGGAGCTGATCTTGCCTGTGAAGACTGATGTGAGAAAGGCATTGAGCACTTCAGCCATTTCAGCATCATCTGTCACTAGATTGCCTCCCCCATTCAATAAGGGACCCACATTTTCCCTGACCTTCCTCTTGCTGCTGACATACTTGTAGAAACCCTTCTTGTTACCCTTCACATCCCTTGCTAGCTGCAACTCCAATTGAGCTTTGGTCTTCCAATTTCATTGCTGCATGCCCGAGCAATACTCTTATACTCCTCCCTAGTCTTTTGTCCAAGTTTCCACTTCTTCTAAGTTTCCTTTTTGTGTTTTAGTTCACTGAAGAGTTTCCTGCTAAGCCAAGCTGGTCTTCTGCCATACCTGCTAATCTTCCTGAGCATCGGGATGGTTCATTCCCATGCCCTCTATAAGGTTTCTTTAAAATACAAACAGGTCTCCTGAACTCATTTCCCCTTCAGACTGGCCTCCCAGGGGACCCTACCCCTGCATGAGTCAAAGCCTGTTTTTCTGAAGTCCAAGGTTCATACTCTGCTGATCTCCCTCTTTTCTTTCCTCAGGATCCTAAACTCAGTCATCTCATGGTCACTGTTGCCTAAGCTGCCATCCACTACTACATTCCCCACCAATTCTTCCCTGCTTGTGA